TCCGGTCAAGGGCATGTACCTGGGTTGTGGGCACATCCCCAGTGGGGGATGTGCAGGAGGCAGCTGATTGATGTTTCTCTCTCATCGATGTTTCTGACTCTCTATCTCTCTCCCTTCCTCTCTGTAAAAAATCAATAAAATATATTTAAAAAAAAAAAAGATCTAGGACCTTAATGTTCCCAAAATGTTGTTGGGAACATTTGCAAAGCTGTATGTTCACAAACAATTTAAAAATACAGTTTTACAAGTTTTTACAGCTTAACAGCATTACTTTCATTTCCAAACTTTTAGTGAACATAAGAAAAGAAATATTAATCTAATTAGTCCTACTTAATTGATGGTTTGCCTAACCAGCACTAGAGGCACTGTTTCTTTGGATCTTCCAATCATTTCCTTCCAGATTCCCTTTGCTGGCGTCTCCCTGAGCTTTCTGTGTGGGGCCTTTGTTTCTCCTTCTTGGTCTGGTCCACAGTTACAGAAGTCTGCGTCATTTAGGCTGAGCAATCTGAAGCACCTCACATCCTAACGTTTGCTTCTATCTGTTTCTGCTTTGGGGCATCAAGTCCGGTCTCCTTCCACATCCCACTTTTGTTCATCTGTCTCCCTCATGCCCACCCTCCCAGGCTCAACACCCACTGAGAGGCTTGCTTTTTCTCAGACCAAGTATAAGTAACAAACAGCAAGAGCAATGAAGTGACCCAAAGTGTTAAAGAATAATTGTTATTCAAGCCTCAGCACCTACTGACAACCAAACCACTCCTTAAAATCAAATAATATACTTCTCGGGAGACTCTGTGACATTTTCCCTTTCTTCTTGGAAAAATAATCCATATTTTTTGTAGGAAATGGTCAGAATCGGTATTAGCTACCTTCTGAAATGGAGCATACTTATGGTATATGCTGTTTAATGAATAAAGCAGGACACAAAATTCTACTGTTTACATGATCATAACGATACAAACAATAGATGCATAGGAAAAAATACTGGTAGGAAATATACTGAAATTTAAGAGTAGCTCCTTGAGAGTGGGAAAATTATAGGGATGTTTTTTGGTTTTTTTCTACTCATTCTAAAATTTCTGATTTTCTACATGATTTTAAAAAACAATAATTTTTCAGCAAAAGCTATTTAGCAAGATGTTATGTTTAAAATCTCCTCTGATACTTATGCCAAGTCCACTGTGTGCCAGCCAAACCTGGAACAGCAGACATGGCACTGCTTTATGCCCAGAGCCTCAATCAAGGTACTGTGACTGCCCGAGCAAAACAGGTGATGCCAGACAATGCCGCCGCCACCTCCCCTAGTCTCTCCCTACCTGCCTTCCATCGTCCCCCACGAGGAAAGTTACACGATGCTCACATAGTTCTTGTTTGAGTAAGTCAGTTTCACCAAATCCCTTTTTCCCCCCATCCAATAGTCATACAATATACAATTTTAGCCAAGTAAGTTTCAAATACTCTTTAGTCCAATGCAGCCATGGCTGATAAATTATTGCAAGAAAATCAGCTTCGGTATGCGTGTCACCAAATCTGGCTGTCACACACAACCTACTCACATTCTGGAATATCACTTGCTGAGAGAGCAGGGGTGTCACCTTCCAGGAGCTTCCGCAATTCAGCTGAGATACCGGCGCTCTTATGTCACAGTCCTCAGCACGAACTCAACTGTGAGCTGGACATCTTAATTCTAACCATGGTTTTAATTTTTCAGATTCAACCTTTTAAAAGTAAAGTTTGCAAAGAGCAGCTAATCAAGCTGTTTACAGCTAATGTATCTCTGTTTGCAGCTGGGAATCCAATAGGGCAGGCAAAGCTCGGCCATCTTCCCACAGGCAGTCTACTTCAGGGGTCCTCAAACTACGGCCCGTGGGCCACATGCAAATACAAATATTGTATTTGTTCCCATTTTGTTTTTTTACTTCAAAATAAGATATGTGCAGTGCGCATAGGAATTTGTTCATAGTTTTTTTTTAAACTATAGTCCGGCCCTCCAGTGGTCTGAGGGACAGTGAACTGGCCCCTGTTTAAAATGTTTGAGGACCCCTGGTCTACTTGTTCCTGCCAGATGCTCATTTCCCTTCTCCTGGGCACAGCATTTGCCACTGCCCGCTACTGAGCCTCTAGTTTTTAATCATTTTTAGCCCTCAATACTTCTACACTTCTATCAGGGACTAACTGGACCCTCCCTTCTTAATTTCTGTATCGATCCATTTCATCTACCTTCTCTTTTTCCATTTCCTCCAAACGCTTTGCCTTCTCCTCCCATTCTACCTGCCGAGAATGTGAAAGAACCACTGGGGCGTCCTACTCTCCACTGCAATGGAATCAGGTCCCAGCCCTCCCTTTTGAGCAAAACACCAGGCCCTTGCAGCATCCACAGAGAGTGGGCCCATTACTACTGACTCACCATAAATGGAATCCTACTATCACTTCTCGATGAGGTGGCAGGGGCACTGGCTCGGAAGAGCTTACTAACTGCTGTCCCCTGGAGACATTAACCCTCCAATCAACATTCTCGGTGGATAACTAATGGCCAGTATGATTCCTGATGCTCTGATGGGTTAACAACAACAATACAACGTCAATTCCCAGCATAATAAATTAAATAAAATGTAAAAGTCAACTCCTCAGTCACACTAGTTACACATCACACATTCTAGAAACAGATGTGGCTGTTGGCGACCATGATGAATAGTGCAGATTCAGAACATGTCCATCGTCACAGAGTTCTATTGCAACAGCACTGATGTAGTCTATGAGATCACACTAAACTCACATCAAACATTTTCAATAATACAAGTCAGCAAAGACATACCTCAACCCCACATGTATCAGCCCTTCCCTAGAGACTGAACAGAACGTACACACGTATAAAACAGCAAAACAGGCTGAAAATGGCCTTGCGGAAAAGCGGTTTTCAGCTGCAGACTCCAGCTTGGCATCTGACTATTGCTCACTGCTGGCTGCCCCCTTCTCTGAGTCAGAAGGTTCTTTTAAAATCTATTATCATTTTCTTTGCATAAAGTCAGGCAACATTTTTTAATCCAAAAAACGTTTAACAAAAAGCAAATGTAAGCACGAAGCACAATCATTCACAACCCTTTCATAAATCACCGGGTTAACGTCACACACGGTTCTGTCTCAAACCCTTCCCTACAATCCTCCTCAGACACAATGATGTTACTGACAAAACACCCGGATTAGGTCAGGCTACCACAATTTCCTTCACACGTGTCTTCTTTACCAGCAAGTATACCAGTTTGAGAATGAAGTGAGTTTTCAAAACCTAAAATTAAAATAATCCTGGTATGCCCTATCCAGTTTGTCTCAGTGGATAGAGTGTCGGCCTGCGGACTGAAGGGTCCCAGGTTCAATTCCGGTCAAGGGCATGTACCTTGGTTGTGGGCACATCCCCAGGAGGGGATGTGCAGGAGGCAGCAGATAGATGTTTCTCTCTCATCAATGTTTCTAACTCTCTATCCCTCTCCCTTCCTCTCTGTAAAAAATCAATAAAATATATTTTTTAAAAAATAAAATAATCCTGGTATTTCATACATTTACCAGCCAACACTCCCCCCCACCAGCAATTTGTCTTGGTAAACATTCTTCGGAGCTAGCATTCCTGGGTGTGTGATGCACTGGGTGGATGTGATATCCTGTATGCATGAGCTAGGGCCACACTCCCGGCTTTAGTGGCCACAGCAGCCATCCAGATGGACATGCTGGCCTGCACCTCTCATCTCCCCACTTCCAGAAGTCAATTCTTCCTCTTACCTTATATAGCAGGAATAGTAAAGGCGTGTGGGTTGCTGGGGATGGTCTCCGTGTCTGTTCCAATTTCAGGAGCTCCACACGCAAAGAGATCCAGCAAATCACTGCTGGCTCATGGCCAAGCTACCAGCAGCTCAGCCAACCACCCCTGAGGGTGCTTCCTCCTCGACTGGCCTCATTCTTCATGATTTCCCAACTGTTGTAACTGCTTTGTCGAATAGCTGCCAAATGTGCCCATAACACTCCATGGGCCTCCAGGGAGCACCCCGACCACTAGGCTCTGCGGGACCACCCTGGGCATCGTCTTGGTTTTCCTGATTTCACACCAGCCTGAGCATTGCACCACCACCACCACCACCGCTGCCACCTCACTTCTACAACTCCTACGACTGCTTGGCCCTTGTGCTTTCCAGGTATGTGACCTGCCTCAGCTGTGCTGAGCCTGAAGACACCACCTAGGAAAGTTGGTGCTTATCTGCTTTCCACTTAGCACAGAGGCCTTCAAAGACCATCCAGGTGGCCAGACGAGGCCTCCGCCCAGCCTATGTACGTCCTCCAACCCAACAGCCTCATCAGGCAGTAACTCAAAAGAGGACTCTGGGCCTGGATTAGTCCTGAAGAATTAGAAAATGTCTAGGGAAGAGCTTTGTGGAGGAGCCCTCAGGGCGCTGTGAACTAGCATGCATGTGAGCAGATGGGAATTTCCAGGCCCACAGGAAGGACGGCCTTCACCTTGCCCAGGGGCCTCCAGGAGCCTTTGAAGGAGGCCAGGGGTAAGATCCTATCAGCTCAGCTCCAAGGGGCCACACTGGGTATCAAAATGAAATAGTGGTCAGCTTGGGGATTCCAGGGCCAGGAGGAAGGGCGTTATCAGTCCCAATTCCACGAGGCGCTCTCCACGAGGGGAGTCGCTTCACCTGGGGGCTGTGCCCACCAAGGTAACATAGGACAAGTCGCCAGCCCCAGCTGGCTCAGAACAAAACAGCTCGGGAAAAGCCTCCATCGCTCTGTTTTGATTGTTTTGCTTTTTACATTATAAATACTCAACCTCGGAGGTCATTGCATAACTAATGCTGCAAAGAAAATGTATCTGAGTGAGTGTCAAGAAACAGACAAGGCCCCCGGGAAGGAAGGCTTTCTTTTTTAAATATATTTCCTTCTTGTCCTCCATGCACCTGGGACGGCGCTGCCCCTAGGAGTGCAAGGGGAAGCCATATCTTGGAACCTACCCAAATCTAGACTGTCCTGGTCTTCATGCTCATTCCGTTGAACCACCAGGCTTTTCACGCCCTGGAAGAGATAAAGTCAGGTGTGTGTTTTTAATGCCATATTAATGCTTCCTTATTTTTGTAAACTAGAAAAACAACCTCAGAGAACACCAGTAAAGACATGTTACATGTGCACCACACATAAACAGAAAACTAGTCTTGTCCTCAACTGATAGTATGTAAGAGCCAAAAATACGAGACGGACCTGTCCCAAGCTGAAACCTGCCTGGAGCTCTCCAGCGTTTCTTTTGCTCCAAGGCCCTCTCCCAGGTTCACTCTAGCAAGCACAGCTCCTGATCAGTCCTGAAGTGCAAGTTTTTTTCGGAAAATGTATTATGTCATCTTGCATATACTACTAGAGAGATAGCTAGGTATGGTCATAAACATTAGAGATGGAAAATTCGATAAAGAAAACTGAATTTCAAGTTATTCTGAAGGTGGCATGGGGCACATCCTTGAGAGTGTGTGTGTGTGTGTGTGTGTGTGTGTGTGTGTGTGTGTGTTGGTTTTTTTTCTGGGGGGGTTGTAAAAAAATTACTACCACCAGATCTTCACTTCCACTTTAACTTTGGGGAACAGCACAGAGGAAAAAAAAGGGGGCCAGGGAGTCATTACCTTTCCATCCTCCTGTTCAGGTGAAGATCTACTGGACACCAAATTCTTAACCTCTGCAAAAGGAATAATTCTCATCAGGATCTGCTGATGAAAGCTTTCGGTTTTCTTTTTAAATAAAAAAAGAAAGGAAGGAAGAAACTAGATGAAGAATAAAAATGAACTGTCCAGAAACTGTCTGCATAAAACCAGGTATTTAGATTAAGCTTCTTAAAAATCAACTGTCTGCAGAGCAGCGTATCTCAGAACCTTACTGGCCACACTCTGCGATTATTTGTGTGGACCAAGATGTAAACAAGCCCAGGAGCTCTCACAGGAAATCCTGAAGGGGGAAAAAATGGTCATTAAGTAAATAAAGGCCCTTGATACAGGAGGAAGGCTGCTCACTAACGGAAGGCTCTTCAAAATAGCACAGATTCTAAGGCCATGACTTGTACCCACCTGAAGAAATCCCGCACATCTATTTCCTCAAATACCAGAGATTTCATGTTTCAAACGAGCACCCTTCATTCTAGATGCAGTCTGGCCTTTCCTGGGGCACCGGGGAAAGTCCAGAACGCCAGCACAGCCCTTCGCTCAGCCTCGGACGGTGGCAGGCTCAGCACTGACAAGCCGCAGGCATGCCGGTGCCCTCTCTGAATAAAGGCTTTCCTGGAAATATCGGTGGTCAGGATGTTCTGGGGTGTTCAGGAAGGTTCACTTAGGGGGTATTTTTCTCTGTGCCTTGACTGATTGGTTCTCTTCCCAAACACTCAGTTGCCGGTAAACAAGGTGCCACTGTTGTTCAATAACCACCAACAGCCAGTTTGGGTCCAAAGAAAATAAAAGGGCAGATGGCTAAGAACCTTTGCTCTGAATTTGTATTAATATCCAACATTGTGGGCCCCAAGGCCCTACTCTGGGCCCCTCAGCTCCCCTGCCCCCCTGGCCCTGCTTGGAGCTCATTCTGGGGAAACCCCATTGGCTTTTCCCAACAGGTCCATTAGTAGGCTCTGCCACACTTATTCATTTAAGTCACCGCGGGCCTCAGACCTTCAAGTGGGCTTTTTCAAGCTCTTCTCACTGCCTGGCAACATGTTGGGAGTTTCCTTCCGTGTGTCTGCTTAGAAACGTACAAGGGATTCATTTACACCTTGAGGCAAGGATGAAGCAGAGCAGTCAACTTTCTCACTGGCATGAGGGGTTTTTAACAATCTACATCACAAAAACTTTGAATTTGCTTTTCATCAAACAAGTAATAAGATATTAACACTCCACAATAGTGTACGGTTCTTGAACTCACAGTCACATTAGCTCTACAAGGAGAAATGAAAAAGCAAGAGCCTCAATTGTGTGTGGTCATGTCAACGGACCTCAACAGGGAATAAGGACAGAGCGGCAGCAGACACACGCACAGCCCAGGCAGCTGTAGTTCCCCGGCATCCTGCCTACCTTGACATGCACACTCCACACAGGCCTCTAGGTGGCAGCAGAGTAACGTCGGCAGGGCAGCATGGACAGCAATGTGTGTGTCAGCTAGGCCAACTTCACACTGCAAAAGCCTGCTGTGTCAGGGCCTATGTCCAGAGCTTTTCATCCCACTGCACAGATGCAGAAAGCTGATGTGGAGCGCCCACTATGTTCTTTACCACATTGTAGTAACACAGTAGGGCTTGTTTGTTTGTTTGTTTGTTTGTTTTGAAACATGTATACACAAACCCTAAAAATTAGGTAAGTGGGAAAGATATCAGCAATGCATTAAAAATGAAGGGAAGGGTAACCAGAACCAACGTTTCAACAGACACGTCTGCACAGATATCGAGAGTCACACACGTGTTTATTTTGTCCTTGATAGAATATTCCTTTAAAGCCATGTCAGACCATATGCTCTTAAATTGGGATGATTCTGCATTCCTAAAGAATTCTACACCAACACTGATGATTCAGAAGAACAGTGCACATTTTATTCAAGGTTGCTAATGAAGAAGGCTATGTCATCTGGCAGTCCAGCATGCAACAATAAAGAATGTGTTCACCCTGGTAGTATGTTCTCACCCCAGCTCCCCGCCCCTCTCAAAAAGCTAGGTTTTGTTCATGGCCAGCTTACATTTTTTCCTTATAGTCTAATGTAATTTTGTTTAATTTTTTTAAAACTATATTAAAATAGACAAGTCTTCATAAAATTTGTATTCCATCATTTAAAAGATAATTTGCAAAGTTATAAAATCATTAAGATATTTGTGACAGCCCTAACCGGTTTGGCTCAGTGGATAGAGCGTCAGCCTGCGGACTCAAGGGTCCCAGGTTCGAGTCTGGTCAAGGGCATGTACCTTGGTTGTGGGCACATCCCCAGTAGGGAGTGTGCAGGAGGCAGCTGATCGATGTTTCTCTCTCATCGATGTTTCTAACTCTCTATCCCTCTCCCTTCCTCTCTGTAAAAAAATCAATAAGATATATTTTTTTAAAAAAGATATTTGTGACAGCGTAAATTCAGGATAACAATGTATCATTAATTAATTTAGGTCTATACAGAACTGCATCTTAGAGCTTTCAAAGAATTTGGCACTCATTCTACTGGGGTTTAATTAAATTGCTCCAGGAGAGTTTCTGCTAAATTACTCAGATCCTTTTACACTCACCCACTGTACCACCAACTGCACTGTGCAATCAAACCACTCATTGCTATAGCAACCTTCAGCAGATAATGATATCAGTAACTCCAAGCTATTCTGTTTTAAAGACCTATTAATCTTGCTTTCCAGGCCCACCCAGAAGTAAGAATTACCCCCTCTACTAGTAAATCAGACTTACCAACTTCATAAACATACCTTTTTATTGCCAAGCTGCAATAGAACAAGAAATAATTTCTAATAATCATGTTTACCAGTGACACTGCAGCAGCAAACAGGGTTTTCAAAACAGGGCTAAGTAGCTGTAAGATTTATATCAGTGTCTTAAGAAACAGATTAGCCTAATAGATTTGAACTCTGTGCACAAGCCTGTCTCCTTTTGAAAAATGGGGCCAACCAGGCTAGACTTAAGCAATGAAAAAGCTTACATTGAAAATTTAGAATGCACAGTATTCTCCTTTAACTACCATTTGCTGTGCCATCTGACTCCTCCCCCAGGAGGAGGCAAGAAGAATCATAATCAGAGCCAGCCAGACAACTACTGTTGTTTCATCCCTACCCTCGGGTTCAACTGTCCACGGTCAAGTGCACAGCTGGGTTAGGTTTGCAGGGCAGCATCAAAGCACAACTGGAAACAAGGGCCTTGCTCTCAGCTTGCTCCACTAGCCCCACAAATGCCCACAGGAACCCTTAGGGTGGTTCACAGTCTCTCACTGAATCTGTTTCTCCCAACAGACCATGAGTCCCAGAAAGACTGGGTCCAAATCGATTTGGGTCCAATACCTGTATCCCCAGGGCCAAGCAGATTGCAGGGCACACTACAGACACTGAATAAAGGCTTCTCTCCTCCACCTGGATCTGGTGGCCCAAAGCAGCCAATGAGATGTGGTGGGTCGTTAGGCAACCTGGGGGTGAGCCAGGGAAAAGAAGGCTGCTTATTTTTTGAGTTATTCCTTCAAACACTTCCAATACTAGCACTATTTTGACACAACTCCAAACTGGATCAGACCGATGAATGCTTTTCCCCTTGCCTCCTCCCACCCCTCCACCTCTGTCAGACCCAGTCTACCCTTGCCTCTCCAGTTACGCACTTGTGTTTCACTTATAAGGACTTCACGCCCACGTGTCACTTTAATGTCTTAGCCTAAATGCATGTCCTATTCACAACTGCCAGAGATTCAAAATGGTTGAGGGGACAAATGTGAGAAACTATCCGCCACTATTATTTCAGAGGCTACTACATCACCTTGACCTTCTGTTTTAGTATCCCAATTACGTGGGGGTTTTAGCCCCTAAAAGTGGGAATACTGATAAGAATAAGCATGGACTGGGAAAAACACTGAGGCATGTATCTATAGAAATATCTCTGTGAGCCCTGTCAGTCCTCAACCCTCAATGTTTCATTTAGTTCAACAAGCGAACCAGGCCCCCACTGACTGCAGCATCTGCAGCCGGGGAGAGCATGTCTAGGTGAGAGAAGAAATTCTTGCCCCTCAACAACTCAAAAACATGTTCCTTTACAATATCATTTTTATATTGTACTCTGCTTTCTTTCAGAAAGAATTTAAGCCATCTTTCTTTGAAGTACAGTTTTTAAAAACAATTTGTGACACTTTTGAGCCAAAAAAAAAAACTTAAGAAATTTTGAAAGGGACTACGAAAAAGTAATCAATGAAATCACTGTTAATGTTTTAGTGTATACTCCTCTCCAGACATATATTTTGTCACAGCTTTATTGAGATATAATTCAATACCACATTATTCACCCACATAAAGGCTATAATTCAGTGATATTTAATATATTCAAAGTTGTGCAATCACCACCACAATCAATTCTGGAACATTTTCATCACCCCAACTTGAAACCTGGTACCTATTATCACTCACTACCCATTTATCCTCAACCTCCCCACTCTCACCCAATCCTGGGCAACCAGTAGTCTATGTTCCATACTGAAGGGTTTGCCTATTCTGGATATTTAATATAAATGGAATCACACAATATGCGGCCTTTTGTAACTGGCCTCTTTCACATAGCATCATGTTTTCAAGGTCCATTCATGTTGCGATGTATCAGTACTTCATTCCTTTTTCTTAAGTTTATCTTTATTATTGAAAGAATTACAGATGTCTCCCTTTTTTCCCCATTGACCTCTCTACCCGGCACCCACCTCTCCCAGGCCTTCACCATGTCTGTGTCCATGGGCTATGCATATATGCACATATGTTTCCCAGTTAGTCTCCCCACCCACCACCCACTCCTTGCCTTCCCTGTGAAATTCATCAGTCTGTTCCACACTTCTAAGTCTCTGGATCTATTTTGTTCATCAGTTTATTTTGTTCATTAGAGTCTACATATGAGTGAGATCATGTGACACTTGTCTTTCACTTCATTCCTTTTTATCACTGAATACTATTCTGTTTTATGGATACACCACTGAGTCCAC